GGAGCCCGCCTCCAGCCGGCGCTGGTGCCGCCCTCTCCTTGGCAGGCAGGAGCTGTGGGCCCAGCTCCCCGAGCTGCCAGGCAGCCCCTGGAGAGCGCCAGGGCCTGGTTCGCTGGGGGCAGGAGAAACCGCCTGCTCCAGCTGGAGGGAGCCTCTGCATTTGCAGCCCTGCTTCCCCTGGCCTCACCTGCCCCAGCCTGTCACAGCCCTAGCCTGGAGGAGGCTGTTCAGCACAGCAAGGACCAGCCTTCTGGGCTGCAGATTAGCCCCACACCCTCCCCCAGTGCCACCCCCATCCGCTTCCCCTGCCCGAGCTTGTTGCTCTGCCTGATTTGCTGCTCTGCTGTCTGCTCCGTGCCCTATCTGCCACTGTGCTGCCGGTCCCCTCCCTGATCTGCCTCGTGGTACATACAGGGGTGGCCCGTGTCACGGGTTGGCCACCCCTGGTTTAACACTGGGCCTCCAGCCCTCTGCACTGGGTGCCATGGGAAATGTCTTTTGTGATGTGGACTCGCCATCTGCCCTGCATCCCATTCCTAGAGCTTCCAGTCCTGAGGCACTTTAATGACACTGACTGAGTCCAAAGGCTATTTAGATTATTAATCCCTTTGTAAAAGTTAATCAGTAATGGGTGATCAGTGCCATTTATGGAGCATGCATTTATAAAACACCAATCCTCTGCTGTTTGTCCCATGCTCTACTTTTTCCTCTTCACCTTAACTTACCTTCCCCGTCTCCACACAGTGTTGGCCATGGAGATCCCTATTTATCCATCAGGTTCTGTGGTCACTGTTCCGTACGCAGCAATGAATTGTTCCAAGTGTACTAACGTTGTCACTGCCTCAACTCCCAGACTGCTGGCAAGCAGGGGAAACGATAATACCATTCATCCACGGCTTTTTTCCACAGTTCTTAGCCAATTGTAGCTGATCAACTTCATAGATGATCCAGAACCAAATACTCCAATGCTTCAATACATTTCTAAGAAGGAGACCTTCAGTTTGTGAGCAGCCATGCCGACACTTTTTTATTCCTCACCAATAATATGTTCGGGGGAATTGGTACTTGATGCTTTTGTGACTTGATACTCTTGACTCCCTCTCTCTGTCTGAGGGATGAATCACTGGGCTGTGGTCAGGTTTTCTCTACCATCTATCTCCTCTGTACTCGTGTGATTTTCTAACCCATGGATGAGCTTGGGCCAGCTGCTCCAAGCACATTTAAGATTAGGAGCAGCCAGATTTCGACTGCAGATCTACATGCAGGACAAGGGAGATGGACTGGTACAGCTGAGATTCTTGCCTGGTGAGCTGGTAACACTCTCCAGCAAGTTTGGAAACTGTGGCTTTGTTCTTCTCTGCTCTTCTCTTTAGGTTCTTTGCACAGCGCCTGATACTGTTAGGCCCTGCTCCGTAACTATGGCTGCGAGATGCTACAGTAAATAAATACTGTACCACTCATTGCTGGTAGCATCTCATCACCTTTCACTACTTTATTCAGTGATGTGACTACCATTGTCACATGCAGTTCACTATCTCTTGTCCTCTCCCTAGGCAGAAGAATTTGTATGTACAGGGTTGGAATTCTTATGGGTGAAAATCTTCTATTGGACCAAGCGTATCATTGATATAGATACAGGCAAGCTTTCAGGTATCACAGTACCTTTAGGCCTATGATTCCTATGTTTATACCAGCCATACAATTGGTCCAATAAAAGCTAGCACCCGCAAGAATCCTTGCCTCTCGCACGTCTCCTGGACCATCGTGGCGACAGCATCGTTGTAACACTATCAAAAGAATGGAAGATATGTACAGGTTTTGTGTTTTGTTTCAGTAAGGAGTTGGTTTTGGTTTTTTGAGTACAAACTGCTGTGGGTCTGTGTCTGAGAAGTCAGATTAGAGAAAAGTGGCCTCATACAGGGAATGAAGGTGGTAAGGTTTACGATGGTCCTTAGTTCCTGTGAGTGCTTGTTCTGCTGGCCTTTGGGAGAGCTCCAAATGAGACCTACATACCCTTAGGATGGAAAGTTCCACTGTGCTTTGACCACAGTTCTCATCCTGGGGCTTTGAGCTAACTCTAGATCTCTGTGTTAGCCACAGCCCATTTGGGAATGTTGTAGACTAGGAGCAAAATCTTGTAACTTAATAAGCAAAATCTTGTATTCTGCAGGAAGTCAGTGTAGAGTAGCGATTCTCAACCAGGGTGCCATGGCATGCTGTTAGGTGTGCAAATATGATTATGCTGAGTTTTTTGCAATAGAAAAATTGCTGTATTATTTTTCCATGGTCAAAAATGTGTAAAAACAAAGAGCTGACGTTTTCTGAGGGGTGCCGTGAGCCTAATAAGGTTGAGAGCCACTGGTGTAGTGTGAAAGGCAGGGATGAAGAACCTGGAGCAACCTGCTATGGTGAAGACATGTTACAGTCTTCTGTACTAGTTGGAACTCCCTGAGTACTTGTTTCCTGCTCAGCTGTATTGGACTGCTATAGTCTAGACAGGAGATGATAAACACACGTATAACTCGGGCTTGGTTCTTATCTGATAGGACGAGAGGGAGTCTGTTAGCTCAGAGATCAACAGCCTACAGTCCAGTCTGCAAGCTGGATCTGGCCCATGGTTCCATTGGATCTGGTCTGCAGAACTGGCACTTCAGTGGTGTTTGGCAGCAGGAGACGTTGTGTATGCCATGCTGCACCTAGGCAGCAGGTGGTGGGTGGCTTTGCCTATGCTATGTCATGGCTAGGTGGCGGGGAGAAGTGGCAGCCAGGTTCTAGCATCAGTGGATCTCGGAACTGCTGCTGCCAGAAAATGTTGCCAACTGTTGTGCTAGTTAGTTAAAGATGATAGCATTGCTTGCTGGTGCTGCTTTGTGGGCATATCTACACGTGCCCCTATTTCATCATTGTTACTGCTCCATCAATTAGTACTTCCTTTAGGAAGTACAGCACATTGTTATTTTAGCCACAACGTTGCTGTAGCGATATGCTATAGTTGTAGCATCAGTTTTTGCCTGCCGACGCTACGTTGTCTTAGAGTGTTGCTACAGCGCCGTAGATGTGCGCTGTGAGAGTTTAGTGCCAGCAAGGAGTCCTGAAACACCTGTAAACCATGGATTGAATTGGCATCTAGGATTCATCTGATCTTAATTTATGCACTGATCTTGTCCAAACACTGTGTCTGTGGCAATGGTATGGTCTCTGTACTAAAGTATAGTTAGAGTATGTTGTTGGTGCTGGAGTCCATGTCATCTGATCTGTTCACCTAGTGGCTCCCTGTAGAACCTGAATGAGGCTGAAGGAGAGAGTTGATCCTTGTGCGACTCCACAAATGAAGTGTCTAGTAGTGGGAGTGCAGTTTCCCATCTCATATCTTTGGACAGAAGATTAATTAAACCATTTTAGTGCTTTCCCCAGGACACCCTCCATCTCCCAGGTAGGATAGTAGTATGTTATGATTGACAGTGTTTAATGCTGCAGTGAGATCCAGGAGGGTAAGGATAGACATCTGCCTTCTATCCACTGATGGGAGGAGATCATCTCAGTGAGGTCAGTACCTAATGTGAGGTCAGTACCATAGCCTGGCCAGAATCCACATTATGCCATATGCCTGATATTCTAGTTTGATTTTGTTTTTGGTTAGATTCTCTGTGATCCTGCTTACAGCTTTGATACTGGACAGAAGGTTTGATACTTGACAGTAATTGGCTAGAACCAATGTATCTAGTGGGGCTGTTGTGTATTTGAAGGGGCAAGCTTCATTCCTTTAATGAGTCGCTGACTGTTTCCTTCTCTGAATGAGGCACTGGAAGCAGCTGCTCTGAGGACAACATATCTGGGATGTTTCAGCATCACTGCTGCTGGGGTTTCAGTAAGATCTTTTATGATCCCTGTAGCTTTGATGGTCTGCAAATGAGCCTAAAATCTGCGCCAGCTTTGGCTCTGGTTTATGAGGTTCATATTCCCAATTCTGCATGGGTACACAGGGATAAGGAAGGAGCAACTGCGGAGTAGCATTTAAGATGGTGTTATGCTGATCTTAGCCAGAGTGGAAGGCTGAGATAATGGAGCTCTGATGGAGGGTCATGGAACCCCCTAACTATGCAGACTCCAGTTTGTGTAGACTCTGCACAACAAAATAGATGCAGAGACTGCAGTCAAAACCCTAGAATATAAGGGGTTGAACTAGATGACCTCCAGCGGTCCCTTCCAGCCCTACTTTTCTACGATAGGATGGAAGCTGGCATGAAGTTCTCACCCCACAGCACAGCCCCTGCTTATCTTATGGTTGTGCTTGGTATTCACTTTCCAACACTGCTTTCCTTTCCTATGAATATCCCCATATAAACCCCTCAGTATTCAGTTTATTTGGGTTTTGTTTGGGCAATGTGAATTTCAGTGTGATGTTGAGGTAGAAAGCAAGCAACAGATTCTGGTTCTAAAAAAAAAATAGATATATTTAAAGATACAAATCTATGTTGCTTTTTTTGCCCCCCTCTAATTAAAGGTGCAGGGTCACTGACTAGATATGATGAAACAGCCATTGCTACCAACTGGCAAAAAAAATTGACTCCAGAGCAGTTCTATGTCACAAGAGAAAAAGGAACAGAACTGGTAAGGAAGAGATTGAATGCCTTTCCAGAGGGAGGAAATGGTAGGAAAAAAATGTCATTTGTGTTCATGTTTCAGGGATTAAACCATTTTATGGATTGGCGGATTAAGAAAAAAAACTTTTCTCTGGGGGCTACTGTTCACACAGCTGCCAACTGCAGGGTTTTTCTCTCTCTGTCTGAAGCATTTGTAAATTTGGCCACTGTTAGGGACAGAAAGCTGGACTAGACAGGCCATTGGTCTTGTACATCTTTTTAACTCCCGCACATGTGAACTGGAAAAATAAATGTCAGAGCTACAGCTTACTCCCGCCACCTCCTCCTAGTCTTGGTTTATTTCCAAAATCAAAGCTCAGAACCTGAACAAATCAACTCAAACTACAGGCTGATGATCACAGGGCCCTTTCCAGCCCTGCCAGCTGGAAGAGGAAAGAACATCTTTTTCCCACAGAGTAGCCTTCTTTACATCCTCTTCCCCTTTTATACTCCATCCAGATCAGCCAGCTGAGAACCTGGTGACTGCTTCCATGCAAGATCACATTCTCCCCATATCACCATGCTGGATTTCATTCCATAACTGCGAGGCTGTGTGGTTTAGTAGAGCTCACGACTGCTAAAACTGGGAGCCCTGAGCTTCAGAGTTCCATGGCCTGACTCACTATGTGCTACTGCACAAGCCATTGTAACCTGGATCTGGATCCTTATCTCTAAAATAAGGATCACAGTTCCAGGCCTCCTGGGTGAGCTGTGTGTTAGCTTGTAGAGGGCTTTGAAGTAGTAGAACCCAATATAAGTGACTTGCTCAGTGGGATGTTACACACTTCACATGCTTGCAGAAGGTCATGACTTTTGCCCTAGTTAACCTAGTACCTGGATGATTTACACATTTGTTCTGAAGGCAAAGGCTTCCCTTCACTTTTAATCCAAAGGCCTCCTCTCCTGGATTTCTTTAGTCTGATAATGTTTATTCTTCAAAGTCGCCCCCCTCCCTCCCCCAGGAAGCCACCTTTTATGTATTGCTCCTGTTTTAAATCTGACTCCTGCATGTTTGTTTGAGATGTTGTTTGTTTAAAAGTTGTTAATACTTTTTTATTTTTAGCCATTTAGTGGAATCTATCTGAATAACACTGAGCCAGGGATGTATCACTGTGTCTGCTGTAATGCCCCACTCTTCAGGTAAGAATCTTGACATTGCAATGCATATGGCTGTCCTGACCAGTTTATACACTGACAGGAGGTACACTGTAGTATTTAATTAGGAACAATGCCGTAGAAAAATCCTTTGATGCCAGCAAGCTAAACACTGTTAATGAGATTTCCAAGATGGTGGTGGTAGCATAGATTGTAGGTGAAGATCTTTTAAGATACTCAGAAAAGTTATTACTGCTCATCTGTCTGCCAACAGTGGGCCTAGTACATTACAAACAAAAAAAAATGTGGTTACTGGCCAAGAGGCTTGTGGCATAGTTCAAAACAAGTTGAATCAGTGTGTTGTGCTCAGGTGAGTTATAAGTAGTGTAAGAATGGGTGTTACCAGATTTGCCCATTACTTTGGGGTGTGCTCATTTATTAGGGATATGTTTCTAGGGTCTTGGTAAGTCTGTCAATGTGCTGCTTGTGTTACTTGTGTTTCTATGCGGAGCTGTATATCTCCTTTCTGCAAGTCCTCACCCCCAATGGAGCTATCTTGCAGGACTCAGTTTCAATGGGCTGGGTTCCTCCAGTCACCAAATCAGTCATACACACAAACATACACAAATTAACGTGACACGCCTGACCCGGCTGGGTTGATCAGCATGGTCAGGCTGACACCCTCATATGCCAAGAATCAGTTCATCAGAGCAACAATAAACTGCAGTCAGACACAAGCACACAGATGAACAGAATCCCTCTGAATCCAGCTGGGTGTCCAGCTGACACCCTCATGGGCCAGCATTCAGTTCATAAGGGCATGTCTGAGTCAAACTTGGTCAATCAGCCTGTACAAGCTGATCCCCTTATGTGTTTCAAACTCAGCACGTCCCAATCTTTAGCCTCTTGATGAGCAAACCCCACAGTATTTTTGGGCTTCACAGGGATCTTTAGCTTAGGTAAAAGAAGCATTGCTGCAGAGCACGGGAGGAAAGAGAAGCAGAGAAGGAAAAATATACCCAGTTACTACTAGTTTGACTATAAAAGTTATTTATTGCTAAGCATATGAAATATATAATGGTACTAATAGTAATAGACATGCAAAGAAAAACAAACACAAACAATTACAGTATTACCCTGGTTTCACTAAGTATTTGGGGAAACTTAGCTCAAGCTTAACTA